ATTTTCAGTGAATCACAAAATTACAGTCAGCTTCCTGGGGTAACGAAACATAGGAGACATGGTGTGCCGGCTGGCGTGCCCCATCCAACCGCCATTGGTCACGATCCCTCCGTGGCCGTGCAGACCTGACGCGCCCTTGCTCTCTGGTTCCTTCAGTATTTCCTGTCTGGTCAGTATCGGGGTTAACGGAGGTAGAAAGAAGAAAAGAGGGAGATGATGGAAGAAAGAAAGAGGAGCCCAGCCAGCGTGGCTCGGTCGTTGAGCATCGACCTGTGAACCAGGAGGTCACGGTTCGATTCCCAGTCAGGGCACAGGCCCGGGTTGTGGCTCTTTACATGCAGGAGGCAGCTGACCAGTGGTTCTCTCTCATCATTGATGTCTCTCTCTCTCTCCCTCTCCTTTCTTCTCTGAAATCAATAAAAATATATTTTGTAAAAAGAAAGGAAGAGGGTTCACCCTTGACCAGACTCACGCAGCCAAAGGCGATAAGTTTCCGCTGCAATAGCCGCCTGCCCAGATTCCTCCCACTCAGAACCAGACTCCTCCTGCCGCTCCCTCCAGCCGTGTCTGAAACTCGCTTTGAGCCCACATTCTGTGGATTCTGATAAAGCAGACCCCACAGCATGCTGAGCCCTTGAAATGCGGCCAGTGGGACGTGCTGAACAATGACATTTGGGATATGCTGGGTTTATAAAATGTATGATTAAAATTAGCGTCATGCATTGCTTCTGACTTTCCGCCACGGCCAGTGGGGGATTTAACGGCAGGACGCGTGTCTATCAGAGAGCGCAGACCTCCTGTGCCTCAGTCCCTCCAGGGTCAGGTCAGCAGGGCCGGCCCGGCCCCCTGCCCCAGGCTGACTGTCCTCCTGCCCAGAAACCCCGCCGTGTAACTCCAAGCCACGCTCCCGCCTGCCTTTGCAGAGCGAGGTCACTGACGTGGCATCACTCAGAACTGGCCCTTGCCCTCTGCTGATAACATCAGGGAAACCCTGCCTGAAACGTGATCTCCCGGCAAACCTCAGGCCATCGGGCGGGATCTGAGGACAAAGAGGGGCTGTTGATGGAATGTCCCGTCCCTACACGAAGGTCAGTCCCAGTCCCTCCTTTCTCCTCTCTGCACCCTCCCGCACCGGAGACCTTCATTTCCTGGCAAAGTTCCCAGAGACCCCGCGCCTCTGAGCCCTGCATCTCCCTGCTAGGAGGGGTCCTCAGCAGTCCGGCAGCAACGGGGGCACTGAGTGCTCACTCACCTAGCAGCCTCCCCACAGCCCCCCTTGAGTGCTCACCTACCCAGCAGCCTCCCCACAGCCCCCCAAATGCTCACCCATCCAGCAGCCTCCCCACAGCCCCCCCTCGAGTGCTCACCGCCCAGCAGCCTCCCTATAGCCCCCCGCCCAAGTGCTCACCGCTCAGCAGCCTCCCCACAGCTCCCTCCAAGTGCTCACCCACCCAGCAGCCTCCCAATAGCCCCCTCCAAGTGCTCACCCACCCAGCAGCCTCCCCATAGCCCCCCCAAGTGCTCACCCACCCAGCAGCCTCCCCACGCCCCACCATGAGTGCTCACCCACCCATCAGCCTCCTCCAATCAGGTGCTCACCCGGGCAGGCTGCATCCCCACAGCCCCCCCACCCCGAGTGCTCCCCCAGGCAGCTGCATCCCAGACACAGCCCTGAGGTCCTACAAGGGCAGGTTCAACCCTGTTTCCAGCTCCTATGTTTGCATTTGTTGGAGGGGACCTTCCGGGTCCGAGGAGGACTGGACGTGGCAGGTCTACTCGGGGTCCCCGGTTTTAAAGGCATCACCGTGTACCCAGTTCCTTGAGTCCAAAGTCTCTAACTCACCCCCCCACTTCTTCCCTGACAGTGACCAAGTCCTGTGACTTCTGCCACCAAACAATTCCCCATGTTAGTGCCCATCCTCACCCCATCCCCATAGCCAGGCCACTGCTTTGCACCAAGTGACACAGTGAGTGCCACGTGGCTCCAGGCAGCCACTGACCTGCACTTCCTGGTCCCTGCGAGCAAGCGGGCGCCTTCGCCCCAGCTGCTGAGGGGGAGGGAGGTCTGGGGCTGCAGGAAGCGGCAGAATGAGGTGGCGCATGAGGCCACGCTGCTTTCCCGTCCCAGAGAACTGATCCGTTCCCATCGAAACTGCCTCCATCTCTCACTGGCCAACGTCCCGGCGAGAAGTGAAAGGTCTAATCCATAACCCCTGGGGCTCAGCATCTGACTCCTGGGGGTCTAGGCAGCTGAGTCCTGACTTGCTGGAATCTGTACTTACCTTAAACTTTGTAAGGATGGACGCTGTGTCCTCATCTTTTCAAAAAATATATTTTTATTGATTTCAGAGAGGAAGGGAGAAGGAGAGGGAGATAGAAACATCAATGATGAGAGAGAATCATTGATCGGCTGCCTCCTGCATGCCCCCTACTGGGGACCAAGCCCGCAACCCGGGCACATGCCCTGACCGGGAATCGAACCGTGACCTCCTTCTTCATAGGTTGACACTCAACCACTGAGCCACGCCAGCCATGCGTGTCCTTGTCTTCATCACACCCCAAAGCATGCCTCCCTCTAGGTCAGTAGTTCTCAACCTTCCTAATGCCGTGACCCTTTAATACAGTTCCTCATGTTGTGGTGACCCCCAACCATAAAATTATTTTCGTTGCTACTTCATAACTGTAATTTTGCTACTGTTATGAATCGTAATGTAAATATCTGATATGCAGGATGTATTTTCATTGTTACAAATTGAACATAATTAAAGCATAGTGATTAATCACAAAAACAATATGTAATTATATATGTGTTTTCTGATGGTCTTAGGCGACCCCTGTGAAAGGGTCGTTCGACCCCCAAAAGGGTCGCGACCCACAGGTTGAGAACCGCTGCTCTAGGTGATGACCCGGGCAGGTTTGTGGAATTGAACCATTGCTGCCCCCGGTGAATAAGCACAGGTTTGGAGGCCTGTGAGACCCTCCCCGGCTCCCGGGCCCCCGCCCCCCATCTGATTTCACAGCCTGTGTTGCCACTCCGCACCCTGCACCCCTGCTCCCTATGCTCTGACGTTCTGGCCATAATGCCATCATCCCCTGCTCCTCCTCTAATATTCCTTCTTTCTGGACTGTGCTCCCCACCCGTGCTCCCACCTTCCAAGGCCCAGCGTAAACATCACCTCCTCAGGACGCTACCTCCCCCTCCACTTGGCCGCTGGGAAACCGCACCCACCTTTGTCGAGGCCCCGGCCCAACCTCACCATCCGTGCAGCCCCCTCTTCTCACCGGGAGATTGTCCTCTGGGGAAAGGTTGGCTGTTTCCAGGATGCAGTGGCCGGAAAGCCCGCCACTACACTTGCTTTATTTTATTTGTCATGGGAGAACTGGAGGCTGAAGCGTGAGGGTTCAGGGTCTCGGCCAAATGCCATCAGAAGCAAAGGGGAGGAAAGCTTCTCCCCAAATTCAAAAGGGAGTCCTGGCCTGACTGGAGGAAGCGGAGGGTGGGGCCTGGCGGCTCCTGGTGAGGCTCTGAGAACAGCCAGAGAAACAGGGCCACGTGTCTGACCGCAGCGGCCAGTACAGCTGCAGACGGCCTCCTTCTCTGAGGGATGAGGCCCAGCTCGAGCACCTGTGGCCTCAGACCATCTACCTGTTCTAGAGTCACAGGGACCCTCCCACCCTCCGCCTGTCCTGCCCCCGTCGGCCCCCACCCACGAGCCTGCTGTCTGGACCTTTCACTCTTTACCTTCATGGTCTGTGGGGCTTAGATTTCTCCCGAACCCGCTTTGTGTGTCAGGATCCAATCTGACTGTGAGTCAAAGAAACACGCAACAGCAGCAGCTTTAAAACAGAAGTTTATTTCTCTCGAAAAAGAGTTAGGACCTGGGTAGTCAGGGCTGGAACGCAGCGTGGCTCCCAGGAATCCTCAGGAATCCGGGCTCCTCCTGCCTTGTTCCGCGGCGTGTGTCCTCCATTCACAAGCTCACCTCCTGGTCTGAGACTGTTGCTCCACCTCCAGCTATTGCACCTGCGCTCCAGCCAGGAGGACGTGCACCGAGGCACTGCCGTGACGCTCCTGACGCCCCACTGGGCGGGGCGTGGTCAGAGGAGCGGCTTAGCTGAGCTGGCCTTTGAGGGACAGAGGCTTTATTCCGAGTAACCTCGACCACAAAACTGGATGGTATCGTTTGAGAAGAGACTAGAATAAAGGGAACGACAAGGGCCATACCTGTCTCATCAGCCAATCAGTGGGGCTCTGCTGTCACCAACACCTTCACCATCAGCCCCACTTGAAGCCTCAGATGCACCACTGGGCAGCGCTCCCCTCCCACCAGCGGGTCCCGCACACTGGCCAATGCGGGGCCGGCCTCCCGTCCTCGGGGCTTTGCCCACCCTGGTCCTTCTGCTTAGAATGGCCTCCCTCTCCAAGTACCTAAGGCCCGCCCTCTCTGAAGGCTCAGCTCAGGCCCTCCTTCCTGGGGAAGCCTGGCCCCTTTTCCCTGTGGCCTCTCTCCTGGCACCCGGAGCACACGGTACCTACGCCAGCAGCTGATGCTTGGCCTACAGGGGAGTTTCTGCGCGTCCTTTACTGTCACCGGGGGCGGGAAAGGTGGCGTGCCTTCTCTGTGCCCCTCCCAGCCGCACCTGGGCAGGTGTTTGCTTGACACCCCGCACCTGCCCTCGGAAGTCAGACAAATGAGAACTCGGAGACCTGGCCGAGTTTCCCCGACCTACAGGCTTCTCATCTATGAAATGAAGGAGCAACACCTGCCCCTCGCAGCCTCTGCCTCCGAGACCCTGACTGAGGGCGGGATGTGCAGGGCCTCCTCCTGGGGGGCCTCTGGGTCCATCTCGGCAGGAGTGGGGCCCCTTTCTCCTTGTTTTTTGGGGTCACCCTTTCCCTTCCTGGGAAGCTCGCCATCCATTCAGCCCCACATCCCTGTTGACCAAACACTAGTCCCTGATCCCCACCCACCACCCAGGCCCCAAATAAACAGCAGCTCGTTTGTAAGAGGTTTTTAATTTCATCTGGGTTTGCAAGGTTAAGGAGTGGAACAGGGTCTCTATTCGGTTCACTCACATGGGACCTGCTACCTTGTCCAGGGGACCTTCCCACCGAGGCCTGCGGGCCCCGCGCCGCCTGCTGTCCGCTCGCCAGGCTGGCTGAGGCTATTGCATAAATTATTCACTAGAGCACAAATATCACATGACCACGACGCTACGCAAGGGCGTGCTCCCTCCGGCCTGGCACCTAGTGATGGGGCGAACCGCTGGGTCCAAGGCTGTGATGAGTGGCGGTGGCCCCGGGAGGCGGCCGGGCCTGTCCCGAACCTCGCAGAGTCCCAGCCGACCCCATCTTCCCCGGCGCCTCGCTCCAGTTTCTCCGGGCACAGAAGCAGCCCATCTTAGCAGCCCCTGGAGGACGGAGGGCAGCTGACCCTGTGTGGGATGGCAGCTGGGTCCTCGGGGCCAGGTCGGGAAAGTGAGCCTGAGGGGGGCCCTGGACCCCGTGAGCCCCAGAAACAGAGCCCAGGACGGGCCAGCACACTCACGTGAAAAGTACAGACAGTATTTCAGCCTTTCCGGGCCACACACTCCGTGGCAGTCTCCTCTTTTACTATTATTTTCTAACAACCTTTAAAACTGTAGAAACCCTTCTTAGCTGCAGCGTGCCCCCTGGTCTGGAACCCCACGACACCCTTCTGTGCCCCGCAGCCACAGCCTCCTCCCCGGGACTCTGGTGCCCCCGCTGTCCTGCGTGGTGTCTGAGCCCAGGCTTCCCAGAAGGGGTTCAGGGCGGTGTGGCCCTCAGGGGCCGCCTTCGCCATGGGACCGGTCTGGTTGTGTTTTAAACAAACCTCAGATATTCATCTCAGCCCTGCTCATGTCCTGGGGGTGATCAGGCCTTGGGTCCCCCATAAGGGAGGTACGGACTATCAGCCTCACCCCCACCTGCAAATGATGCTGGTCAAGAGCAGAACTGACTGCCTGGCGCCGCCCACAACCACGTCACAGTTTTAAAGAAAGCCGAGGACTAGGTTTCACGCTTTCTAGGAACATAACCAGGAACTGTTCTGTCCCCAGCCAGTGACCAGGCCCCAAAGAGAGCCAAACCCAGGAGAGGACCTGCGGGCCACACGGAGCCGCTGCCCACACCCAGTGGCGCTCTGACGACAGAGCCCGGAGCTGTGGGGCCGCGGGGAGCAGCCCTCTCTGCCCTGCCACAGGTCTCTTCCAACTAGAAATAAAGTCTATAAAAGTAATTCATCTCATTTTATAACTTAAGTGCATCAAGCGTTTCCTTAAATAGAGCTCACACTGGAAATAACGTCACCTGTGCTGCCCAGTGGGTGTCTGCCATCAAGGGCACAGCTTTGAAGATGACGTATGGAAGGTCACACTCACACACACATCCGCCTGCCTGCCTGTCTGTCTGTCTGTGGGTTGTACAGATGAATAGACATATGCACCTCTTCACAGGAGCTTCCCCAGGAGGTGGGAAGCTGTTGGGGTCTCTACGTATCTAGCCTGCATGACAATGTCTACGTTAAACATCCCTGTCCTTAGCGACAAACACGCCTGCAAACCTAACGCTAAGACTCTTATTAGAAACATTAAACTATGCGATCTGTTATGCATCCAGTCTTTGGAAATGCCAGCCACCCCAGAGCATCATTCGGCAGCATCTCCGACAAAACACCCTCCCCCGCCGCCTCGTCCTGGCCTCCGGTCCTGCAGCCAGCGGCCCTCCCACGTGTGGTGTTCCATACGGAGCCCAGCCACGAAGCTCTGGGGAGGCTCAAGAGGTGAAGTAAGAATTCTGCATGGAGTACAGGTGGTCAATGGGGTTCCCCACCCTGGACTGTAGGGGCCCGGCTTCCGAGGTTGCTAGGAAACAGTCACCCAGGTTACTGAGGGAGGTGTCGTCACTATCCAGGTCGTGGAAAAGGGGCTCGGCACCTGAAATGAAGATGAAACACAGGCATGAGGGTCTGAAAGCAGGGACTCCCCTGGGTGCTGAGAAACGCACCAGCATCCAGCATTCTGGGGTGGGGTGCCGGGGCGGGGGGGACGCTACACAGAAATGGAGGCGGGAACAGAGTCCCCGTCCACAGGCCTCTAGTCTCCCAGGGCTCGTGTCTGAAGTGCAGCAACTGAAAACACGCCAAAACACCAAGCCAAGCGCAGGCAAAACAGATGGCAGACGGTCGATCGCCTCCCCTCTGTGACAGCGCGCTCAGGTACGCCGGCACTTCCGCCTCCCGCATCTGTGTGCAGGCAAGAGGAAGGTGACCCCCCGACGGACCAGCTGGGGACCACGTGACAACAACCAGAGATGCGTGCCCTTCACCTCCCCTTCAAGTTAACCGGACAGGTGAAAACCGGTTTATTGGGCTTGTCACGCGGCTTTAATTATTCATTTTACTAAAGGGTTCCTCATGGGGACCTGTAGGTAATAAGACCCCAGGGGCTGAAAATTTAAGAATCTGCAGAAAAGCCATGTGCCCTGTTTTCCACAGCTGTGGGGTGACGACGGGTACAGAGGCTGCACGTGTCCCCTAAGGAAGCCAACGCCACGATTGCGGCGGGTCAGCGAGGCCCGCAGAGGGCCCGGTCTGCACTGGGGTTTGTCGGACACATGGAGGGAAGACAGACTACCTGAAGAATAGGGGGGTCTTTTAAAATAAAGGCAAACAAGAACTGTGTGACCACACGCGTGCGCTCAGGCATGTCTCGGATGCTGCCTCGAAGGCTTGCCAATCGAACTTTGTTTTTAGCCCTCGGGGCTCGGGGTACAGATTACACCGACAGGTGGCTGCTGCCCAGGCCGCTGACCTCGCGTGAACGTGCTGCCCTGTATCTGGCCCTGAGGTCCAACTCCGGCCGTCCAGCCAGAGTTCGCCCAGCTGCTGGCGAGGGGAGGGCTCAGCTCTCCACACACCAGCATTTAAACGCCGAAGTGCTGGTGGGCGGGCGTGGGAGTGGGGGTCCTCTTCACTTCTCAGGTCCGCTTCTGCTTCAGGAATTCCAGGAGAACCTAACGTGGTCCAATTAGAACAGCGTTTTCTCTGCTTTATCGATTTCTCTGCTTTTATCCATTTCCTTCCCATGAAAGTTCGCTCACCTCGGGCCTCCTGCCTAGATCATGCCGACAGGGCTGACAGCACAGTCCCTCTCAGGGAGGAAGGATGGGAAGTTCAACCACACAGGCGGGAAGCACCACCTCCTACTTAAAACTGACGACTAAGCGGCTGTGAAGGGGGAATGAGTGGAGACACGCTGGTGAACTGAGTGCTGGCCGTTCTGTGGCCCCTGGTGGGTGACCCAGCAATTTTCCTGGGCCTCATGGGGCTTTGCAGCTTCCGGGAGCATCTGGGAACGGGGCAGATGTGTTTGGGCAGGAAAGAAACCCACGCAAGCAAGTTGTGATGGTCCCTGTGGGTGGCGGCCTGTGGGCCAGCAGGGGCCCCCTCGGAGGGTGGGGCTGGGGGCAGTTAACTTGAGCACTTCCTTGGAAAGTATCATTAAACCAAAGGTGAGCGCTGAGGAGGGTCATCCTGGAGGCGGGGACCACATGCACCTGTGACCACAGGTAGGTCCAGTTTCCTCACTTACTGAGGGGCGGGGCTGAGGCTCTTACCATAGGGGTGCATGTGGTCTCCAGGCATCTGGGGCGGGGTGAGGCCCTGCCGGAAGGGGTCCGCGCTGTACACGCCCTGCTCCATGGCCAGCAGCTGCTGCGGGGTGGGCAGGGCCGTGTAGGGGCTCATGATGCCTTCCAGCCCAGTGCTCCCGCCACCATTCGTCTGAGCTGTGGGACAAAAAGGCAGGTCACCCTCACATGCAGCCTGCATCCCCCGCTGTACAGGAGGACACAGAGCATCTTCCCCACATCACAGCCCCCATTCCAGGTGCCCCGCCCGGCACTGGCCTTTGCTGTGGCTCCATACAGAGAAGAGAGTGAGGGGCAGGCGGGGCAGCACAGGGAGACTGGGCTGGCCCTGGGAACCCCCGTTGCCCAACCATGTGGACCACACAGCAGCTTAAGTGGCCTCACAACGCGGCAGCTGGCTTCCCAGAGCTGGTGATTCCAGAGAGCAGGGAGCAGAGATCGCCACATCCTGTAAGACCGAGCCTCGGGGTCACGCCCAGGTCAGCCCTACTCATTGACCAAGCGGACTGCAGGCCGTGGCCGCCAGGAGGGTGTAACCACATAAGCTGTGCGACCATGGCTAAGTCATTTCTTACTTCCTGGGTCGGGGTTTCCCATTCACAGAGTGGACAGACATGAGCTGATTGGCGGGTCCCAGCCTGTGCCTTACAAGGGCTTCAGGGGTCCCTTTGGAGAGCGTCCCTGAACTATGCCATTGAAACAAGGCATCTGGGGGTCCACTCAGGCATTCCAGGTGCCCCGCCCGGCACTGGCCTTTGCTGTGGCTCCATACAGAGAAGAGAGTGAGGGGCAGGCGGGGCAGCACAGGGAGGCTGGGCTGGCCCTGGGAACCCCCGTTGCCCAACCATGTGGACCACACAGCAGCTTAAGTGGCCTCACAACGCGGCAGCTGGCTTCCCAGAGCTGGTGATTCCAGAGAGCAGGGAGCAGAGATCGCCACATCCTGTAAGACCGAGCCTCGGGGTCACGCCCAGGTCAGCCCTACTCATTGACCAAGCGGACTGCAGGCCGTGGCCGCCAGGAGGGTGTAACCACATAAGCTGTGCGACCATGGCTAAGTCATTTCTTATTTCCTGGGTCGGGGTTTCCCATTCACAGAGTGGACAGACATGAGCTGACTGGCAGGTCCCAGCCTGTGCCTTACAAGGGCTTCAGGGGTCCCTTTGGAGAGCGTCCCTGAACTATGCCATTGAAACAAGGCATCTGGGGGTCCACTCAGGTGCACAGCCCTGGAGGGGGCACCTCTAAAGACCCTGCCAGCATCACTCACAGGAGCTCGTAAGTCAGGCGGGGTCGTGACACTGGCCTATGACCTCCCCGGGCTGACATGAAGGTCCCGTGAGACCATGTGTGTGGGCTTTGGGACTGCAAGCTGCCGTCTGCGCACAGAATCCTGTGACGCAGGATGACTCAGCCCGCCACCTGCACAGCCCGCTGTGGGTCTCTGGACATGGCCCCGTGAGCTCGCAGAGACCTCCTCAGGGCCCTGAACGCTGCCTAGACGTCTCCCAGGTGAGCACCAGGGTTTCAGTTCTTTTCCCCTTGGCCTGGTGGCCTATGTGGAGTCCACCTGCCGGGCCCCCTAAGCCCTCATGTCCGTGACCCTCTGAACTCCCCCGGGTCCTGAGCACTAGGGCCCTCGGGCTTCATACCTACCCCCCCACACACCCCGCAAGCGCGTGTGCGTGCGCACGCGCACACACACACACACACACACACACACACACCTCGCACATATATCCTAATCTCTAAGGGACCCAATCAGACTTGCAACAAGGTGAGCAATTGGCAGCTGCAGCTGGCACAGCCTGAGCGCGAGGAGGCGGGGCTGGTCCCAGCGCCAGCAGCACAGGGTGGAGCTGCGCAGGCCTCAGGTGTGCTCCACCTTCCCCAGCACCTGCCCGGTTTCCTGATCCTCCAAGACCCGCGGGGAAAAGCTGGGGACTCTGGGCTGCCGAGCGGAGTCCCGGGCTGAGCCCAGGCCGGGGCCGCCCAGGGACAAGGAGCGTTGCTTGGGGCCTGAGAACCAGAACCATGCCCCACGCCTTCCGAGTGTGGCCCACAGCCCAGCAGCAGCGGGAGCTTGTTAGACATGCAGGTTCCAGGCCCCGCCCCAGATCTGAGGAGCCAGAGGCTGTGCGGTACCAAATGCAGGTGACCCACGTGCAGGTGACCCGCGTGCAGGTGACCCGCGTGCAGGTGACGGACGGTGTGAGAACCCGTCTTAGGAGCAAGCAGACCATTTGGAGGATCTGCCAAATGGATGGCTGAGTTGGGCCATATCCCTTCAACAGTGACATTGTTCTAAAATAGTTATTCTTGATCTAGTTCTTTGAGCTTCCTTGCAGACTCCCACACCCATCCTCCACTCCCTCCCCAGTCCTCACCTACCCCTATTTAAAAATGAGGTTCAGGTTCAGCCCTGACTGGTTTGGCTCAGTGGATAGAGCATCAGCCTGTGGACTGAAGGGTCTCAGGTTCGATTCGGTCAAGGGCATGTCTTGGTTGTGGGCACATACCCAGTAGGAGGTGTGCAGGAGGCAGCTGATCAATGTTTCTCTCTCATAGATGTTTCTAACTCTCTATCCCTCTCCCTTCCTCTCTGTAAAAAATCAATATATTTTTTTAAAAAAAGGTGATGGGATTAAGAAGTACTAATTGGTAGTTACAAAATAGGCATGAGATATAAGGTAGAGCATAGGGCAGCCGTGGGCAAACTACGGCCTGTTCGGCTGTTCTATATTGAAATAAAAAAAAGACCGTACCCTTTTATGTAATGATGTTTACTTTGAATTTATATTAGTTCACACAAACACTCCATCCATGCTTTTGTTCCGGCCCTCCGGGCCAGTTTAAGAACCCATCTGAAATTAATTTAAAAATATAGTTTAAAAAAATGAGGTTCATGCAGGAACTTTGAATCAGAGAGAGGGGTCTCGGTTCCCACTGGGCCCCTTCCTCCTGTGGGGCCTGGGTCAGCCCTGGGAACCCTTTAGTGCCATCTCCGCTGGCCTTGGGGTGGCTGCTGTAAGCGTCAGGCCAGCAGGTGGGAGCCGGGCTATGAACTAGAAACTTGCTCTGCAAAGCAGGCAATTATTCCTTTACTGTCATCATATCCCCCACTTCACGTTATTGTGGCAAAGGTGGAGTCACAGCCGCGCTTCCACGGGGCTGATTTGCCTGGAGGACGGAGGACTGGGCAGGACGAGGAGCTGCAGGCCGTCCTCACAGTCCCCACACTGGGCAGGCCAGGGCAGGGGCTTGGACAAGCCTAGCGCCACCTCCCACAGGCGGTCCGGGCTGCAGCGGTGCCCGGCCTGTCACAGCTCCTCCGGCTCAGTTCCCACTGCAAGGCCCCACCCCACACGGGTGAGGCCAGGGCTTCTGGCATGCCACAGGGGTCATCCGGGGAGCTGGGCAGCTGGAGGCTGTGGCAGGGGAGCCCGGCCCGGCAAGGACAGCGCGAGGGCCCTTACCCGAGCTCAGCCGCTGGGTGTTCTGCTGGTCCTGCTGCTGCTGCTGCCGCCGGGCCAGCTTCTTCATCTGATGTGGAGAGAACCAGGTTAGACAGCAGGGGACCTGCAGGGGCTCAGGCCTCGTGGGCGGGCCGCATGCAAGGGCAGGGACACGCCCCCAGCGGTGACGCACACGGGAGCCACATTTGAGGAGCAGCGCTGGGAGTTAGGTGTCGTTGCTCCCGCTGTGGAATGGCAGCGGCTGGGCAGCAATGGTGTCTCAGCAGGAGCAGCAAGTTCCTCCCACAAAGAAAACTTGCTGCTGATGTTGCGACAGTTTTATGTGAGGTCTGCGTGCGGAGAGGGGGCCTGCAGCCTAGCAAGGGGCTGTCCGCACGCACTCCCCTACCTGCTGGCCCTTGTGTCTGCAGACCCACTGGGAAGGTCAGGCCTCCAGGTAAGGAGCTCACCTCCAAAGCCCATGTGGGCACACACTTCCTGAAGGAACACTGTGACCCAATGTTTCTCAAACTGTGTTCCATGAAATTCGAGGGTTCCGTGAGATATTAATATACACTTGGAGTGTGTGCATAGATTTCTCAGAGCTCCGAATGTGCTCTGTGCCACGTGACTCCACAGGCCTTCACACCCCTGAGCCTGAAACCCTCCCAAGTGAAGGACCATGGAAGGCACATCAATACATTCAGGGAGGCATATCTCCTTAAACAGTTATGTCAGAGAGAGAGCTGTTAATTCATCGCCCGATGAAGCTCAGGGCTCTCAAGCAATGGGTCACGTGACACGTAAATTCAGGTCTAAAGTAAAGGACTGTGTGCCCAGCCAGTGTGGCTCAGTGGTTGAGCATCTACCCATGCACCAAGAGGTCACCGGTTCGATTCCTGGTCAGGGCACATGCCTGGTTTGCAGGCCTGATCCCCGGTGGGGGTTGTGCAAGAGGTGGCTGGTTGATGCTGTTTCTATCTCTCTCCTTCTCCCTTCCTCCTCTCTCTCTAAAATCAATAAAAACATTTACAGTAAAGGCCTGCCCAAGAGAATGCAGACGGCA